GTCGAAAGAATAAACGCAACTTCTCTTCCACTTTCTATACTTTCTGTAATTTTTCCGTCCTCTATCTGAGCGTCAAATTATTATTACAACAAAGTATAATTACATTCAATGCAAATATGCATTATGCTATTTTTAATATAGGAGACATAAATGTAAAAAAGAGCAGGTATGTGCATGCATATGTGAACATTTGTGTGTGCGTATCTATGTATAAAGAGATCTCGTTATTTATTTATACATTCTCCAAACTTAAGCTCCTCGAGTCCTTTAATTTGCAATGTTAAGTGTCCTCCCGAGAGGAATAATGCTTCGTCATTGCGCCAACTTCCCACGAAAGTAATAATAACGCACGATATACTCGGGCGGGAAAACACAGGCCGAAGAAATTGTGCATCCGCAAGATGCAGGGTCGATTCTACCTCATGTCAGCAAAGGGAGCGCATATTTGCGGTAACATATTACAAGAGAAGAGTGGCATTTTATTGAACTTATTCTCGCAGAAATTATATTTTTTATTAAAATCAGAATAAATTGTACATTTTCTCATCTTCTCGAGAGAGATAATACAACTAATACAAGCAATTTCACGTAAAATACGCTTTATCATAACGTTTTATATAATTTTATGGAAAAGAAAATATAAGAATCTTTTTCTCATCATGCTAAGATGATTATGCAGGATAACTGTTGCATATATAAAAAAAAATGTACCGCGCACGAGTATTTATTCAAAATGCAAGCTTGGTCTCTTAAAAAGAACAAAATCTCCCGGATCCTTGACAAAGATGGTTTGTGAGGTAAATACATTTTTGTTTGCGCAACTATCAAAGAAATTTTCATATCCAGAAGACTTTCATATCTCGCTGCACGCATCCGTACAATTTATACGTCTCGCGAAATATAGAGAAATGGAGAGCAATTTTGCCAGAGGACTGTACATCGTTTTTAATTAAACACTTTCGACGTTGCTCCGGTTTAAGAATTAAACGGAGCGCATGGAGGCTACGCGCACTCTCTACGTCCCTTTGTTGCATGCGAGGTGTATAATCGCGCACGATGATATGAGCGATGCGATGCAACGATACAACCCGGTAGACGCACAAAATCCTACACCTGGAATGTTAAAGGGAAGGAAACGATCCCTCGCGATCGTCGCGAGAAGACGCCCGAAGCCATTCGATCCAGCGAGAACGAATTATTTCTAATACAACATAGTGCGTGACTAATAAATTCCGTTGTTGTTGTCGGCCCATTGACGCCTCGGAATAACGGTTGCAAGCTACTATATGTTACGAGCAAACATTTGCGTCGCAGCGCGTTACGATACGGATGAGAACGTTATTCCGAGGACTTTAGCACCGGAATCTTGATATATACGAAGGATCTCGAAGAGGACGATCGGTGGCAATAGATTTGAATGTCGTATAAATCTTATTGTTAGTTCGCGCGCGCACGATTTTATTCTTCACTTACAAGTACTTGGCGTATTTCGTTCTTTCTTCGTGGAATTTTGAGAGATTTTACCGGGAAGATATTTTACACAATATTATAATAAAAATATTATTAATTCTCGCACTCCTCAAAAAATGTCAAGTATTTTAACAAGTTGTACGTTATCGAAATATTGGTCAAAATACGAAATTAGCATTTTTTTATAATCCATCATAGGATGCACATTTTTATTAGGATATTTAGCCGCGCGTTTAATTTTCATTCTAAAACTATAATTAATATTGTAAGAAATATATACATATGATGTAAGAGATATTCTTTTTAGAAAAATTAAGTATTAGAAAAATATTTGAAAAATTAAATATACAACTGTACGGGGAAAAAACGACGTATGATTTCTATTAAAGTAACATAAAAAAATTTTCAGAGTTATTAATATCTAATATTTTTTAATTTTTTAATTTTTATTAAATACATAACATTTAACATCTTAATTCCGATAAAATATTAATTGGACATTTAGATTTATAAGCTTGACGATATAAATGCGTAATGTTATTACGAAGTCACTCAAGACGGACTTTAAAGCCTTATGAAAGATTCATCTGACACTTTAATTACATCCAGATATCTAACGTGAAGAAGAGTAAAGCCTTTAATTCCTGAATATTACATTAAGGAGTCGTCGACCAACATGCGAGCACGATGAGAAACGATGTTGATGCGCGAACGAGCATTGTTATCCGTCGCGGATCGAGCCCGTAATCAGAAGGTTAGCGCGCGAGAGGTGGAAATATTAATTTCTGAAAGTATGATAATGTGCGAAGTGAAATCTTTGGTGGCTGACTTTCCATTTGATGCGGCCGCGTCGTTACCTCGCAATCTTCGGCGAAAAATTCGCGGACAAACGAAGAGAAAGATAAGTGACGACCGATCGAACCGATCAAACTTGATTACGAAACACGCAATACATCGGAAACTGCTCCGAAAAATAATAATTTATTCCCAAAAGAAATATTTTTGAAATACCAAACAATAATTTCGACGATATCACATTTTCAACTTTAAATAATTTTGTCAATTTTATATTTTTTTTATGCAATAAAGAATAATCTAATAAAAGTTTGAAATAATATTATATTTTATTTACGTTACATATTTTTTAGATTCAACTAAAACAGACAGATTTTTATGGAACAATTTAATCCGCGCGTTTCAGAATTGAATGTATCAAATATACAGATTAATGTTGGATAAAACTATCAACGTTATTTACGTTCAAAGATTACGCTTATGTGTGTAATTAACTTTTTTGATTAATATGACACTAAATAATAAAAAATATGAATATTATAATAAGTTATATTAGAAGAATTTAAGAATTATTAGAATTTAATTAATTAAAAATTATTCCCAAAATCAAAATTGTTATTATTCTTCGCGCGAAGTAATAGCTCTTTCTCATCATCTCATTATCGACATTCAATGATAATTATAATAACTCATTCTTCGTTATTGAGATGCAAAGATTAAATTCAAAGATCTTGACCTTTGATGCGAGGAAATATCTGCTGGTTTTTTCCTACCGTTCCTTTTTTGCAAGAAATATCGCGAACTCGTTCAATACGCAAATTATTGTTTTTTTACCCTTGAAGCAATTTCTATTTACAAACGATAATGTAAATTTTCCAGGAGATGACTCCGATATCGCGAAAATAATTGATAAAAATTATAGACGGTCCTGAGCGATAGAAACGAATAAGTGCGCTACTAAAACGCCTAAATTCGTAAGATCTATTCAATTGTATTATATTCATTTCATCATTCAGTAATCATTTTCTTCGAATTTCGATTCATCGTCGAGAAGAAACACGGTTCTCGATTAAGGGACGCTCCCCACGTTCGAGAAAAATTTAAATTAAAATTCGCATTCACGTCCGTGCGTACTTTATCGCTGCAAATGCGATACCCCAGCGTATTTTCGTATCTCACGTCGAGCGCTAAATGCGACCGTGTAATCGCTCATTATACATGATAACAGCGAATGCGAATTGCACGACGGAAAAAAAAAAATAAGATACTCGGAGTTGCACTTAATCATCCGCGTTAAGTGTACGATGATACCGCGAATACGTAACAAAGACGCGGCGAGAAAGGGAGGACGGGGGGGGGGGGGGGAATGTAATGACAGTCGAGGCATAGGACGTGGGCGCGTGTTTCGTTATTACGAAACGGAACGTACGCCAAAGACACCAAGGTCTACGGTACTCTACGTTTAATGTCACGTTTAACGCGTTAAAACGATGCCGCCGATTCAGAGTTTCATCCGTTTAATGGAGATCAATGTCAAACGGCGAATTGAAGAACAGAGAATCTCTCTCTCCCTCCCTCTCTCTCTCTCTCTCTCCCTCTCTCTGTTTTTCTCCTTGATTATAATACGCGTTAAATGATAAATTTTTGAAAAAAAGAACGGAAATTCAATGTCTCGCGAAGAAAAATATATAATATATTTTTTCCTACACAGTTGCGATAACATCCCGACAGCTTGTCAAAACAGTCTGTAGGACAATAACGATAAACAAACACAAGAGGAGCATTCGATACCTCCAAGTTTTGATGCAAACAGTGTCGTCTAACTTGGAAATAAATCGAGCGCGACATTTCGTATTTTCATACTTTATCTCATTTCCTTTCCCGGTCTTTTTCTTATCTTTCATCCGCGCGTAACGACATTGGTCATTCAAGTGTCAAGGCGACGAACCGCAACCATTAATATACAAATGCGAGAGAAGTATTTAAATTAGAAATCTTGTTTGCGAAGCACTAACGATAGTTTGAGAAAAACAATTATGAGCGAAAAATTAATAATTTTTAATAAATAAATTTAAATAACAAAAACACATACGTAACGAATGTCAAATATTCAATAAAATTTTAAGATTGCCCTAATTTTTTTAAAATAAAGGAATGCAAGTTTCGTATACAATATAAGGCGTGATATAAATTTTATCCTGGTAATTTTGTTTGCTCCACCCTCTTGAGACGCAAAATGACACGGAATTGTGTTGTCGAGCACGCACAAATATCACGAGAAAATGTACTGTTTACTTGAAAAAAGCGACGCTGCTCCGAAACGTTTGTCGCACAATTTTCGCGCGATGACAGATATACGCTCGATGTCACGCTCGATGTATCTCGCAGGTTCCCATCGACGTCATAGCGCAAAAGGTCTCGCTCGACGAGGAAGGACGCGAAGGAAGGAGGAAGTAAGCGGGAGAAAATGCAGAAGCAGGAAGAAGAAGAGAAGACTGCGGGGGAGGATAGAAGGAGGCAGGGAAGAAGGAGGATTCGCGAGGACGACGCAGGACGTCGCGGGAGGGAAGGGAGAGAGCGCCGAGAGGGTGCGGTAGATACGAGACGAGCCGATGACAGGAGACGCGTAGTGACGAAGGATGAGCAAAAGAGACAAGCAGAACCAACTTCACGGACGGATAAATGTGATAGAAAGAGGAATACGCGCATTAAAAAATATTGACGGAGAAACTGACCTTGTCCGAGGGTATGGTGCGCACCGTAGTCATCGTAGCTGAGGGCCAGGAGGCGTCGTGTCGCGAGTAATCCAGGGTAATCGGCGGAGTCCGTGGCGATGTCGACAGCGATGTCGAGCGTCCCGCGACGTCCGCCGACGACGACGACGATGGCACAGTGATCGCCGAGGCGATTGTTGACGACAGATTGTTAACGATGATGAGAAAGAGAGAGAGAAAGAGGGGAGAGAAAGAAAGAGAGAAGAAAGGCGGGAGATGAGTCGCGTATTCGCAGATGCACTTTATCACTCCCGACTAGAAGGACGACGACGACGACGACGACGACAACGACGACGACGAAAGCACACTCTTGCTCTCACGCAGGGGCCCACCTCGCGCGCGCGTTACACTACACCATCTCGATGGGCCGCGTCGTGTCGTGCGTGCCTCGCACCGCGACCGACACCCCGCTCGAATCGAGCGCTTCGCCGATGGCCGATGGCCGCCGTCGCCGTTACTTGTACGCGTCCGGGCCGGGCCGTTGTCCGGCCAACATGTTGAGACGCTGAATCGCACACAACTGTCAAACGCCGAACCAGACGGACGCGGGGACTCTTGGCCCTGGTGTGCTAGACGCCACCCGCACCGCACCGCACCGCACCGCACCGCACCGCACCGCACGCACGCACGCACCCGTGTCACCCGTCCCGTGACAGCGCCAAACACATAAAATGGCGATCTCGCGGATGCAAGATCTGCGGAGCGAACGAGCGTCGCGGAGAGTGCGCGATCGACTAGACGGGTGGACTCGGTGACGGAGCGGTGACAGCGCCAGCGCCAGCGCCTCTACCGCGCATGCGCGCGCGCACCGCGCGCAAGTTCACGGTGCTCGACTCCGCAGTCGAGTCCACTCGTCTAGTCGATCGCGTGGCCTCCCCGTGCTGCTGGTTCGCTCTGCGCTTCTCACGTTTTACGACGAGTTTTCATCCATTTTTGAAGGTAAAGATTTTAAGCTACGGTAAGATTGCCCGATCGAAGCGACTTCGGAGCTTTTAGCACGTGAGTTATTTGGCGCGATATAAGAATATCGAATTTTGAGTTTACACTTGGAGCTTTTGCGTCTGAATATCTCGACCAATGAAATTGCGCGCAATACGTTATTTCACTGAAAATCCGTTCCTTGGCCAATCAGTGACTTTGATTAGTGAAACGAATATACCAGATGTCGTTAGTGCTTTCCTCTTCCGGTGCCGAATGAGATCGTGAAATCGCAGTTGCTGTGCGCAATTTATTATAAATTTCGATAACGTGATTCGGTGTCGAAACGTAAATAATATAGATATACACAATCTTCGAATAAAACTGCTCCAAAAGTTTTAACTCATTCATAATCATTGGTGAGTTTGTTTAGAATTTGCGCCGAAATTCTTAATTATTATTTTTAAAGAGATTAGATGTGTAGATTACTTCTTACGCCGTGTGTATTGTGGCCTTCAAATTAGAATACGATCGATATGCGTCTTTAAATTAAAGAAAATGTATATATTTTACTTTTTTGCATCGCAACGTATAGATTTTATTATGCGAAATTTATAGTTGGTTGATTGATTCATTCAAATCTATTTTTAGAATTATATCTGACACATTACAAAATCTGTTTACAGACAACATGGAGTTCACTGAAGAAATTACGAATCAGCTCGAAGAGCTCGCGCGACAGTGCATCAAAGATCCATCTCTTTTATATAATCCGAAATTACTCTTTATCAAGCAATTGATAGAACATTACGGTGGCAAGGTACCACAAGCTAAAGAAGCCAATAGTTCATCGGATGCAAAATGTGAATTTCAAAGCAAGCCTGCGGAACCACAGCCTGATTCTGAGAGTGAAGAAAGTGATTTGGAGCTGGATATGACTGGTGTAATTGGTTTGTACATTTATCTATTTTGACTATATATCTATATATTTCTTTCATTATTCTGATAAATATATAACAATGCGATGGATATTTTCAGAACCAGATAGCGAGTCTCCTCAAAAAATGGGAAATCTAACTTTGCAACCCACAGAGGAGGAAATTGCAGAGTCGCAGACAAAGAGATCCGAAGCAGTCTCTGCATTTATGGAAAAAGATTACGAGAAAGCTATACAATTTTATACGGAAGCTATCGTATTGAATCCACATGTAGCCTTGCTATATGCTAAACGAGGTCAAATCTTTCTGCTATTGAAAAAGCCAAATGCCTGCATTCGTGACTGCGATCGTGCTATAGAGTTAAACCCGGACAATGCAGCAGCTCACAAATTCAGAGGAAGAGCTTATCATCTGCTTGGAAAGTTCGAAGAGGCAGCGAATGATCTGAGACTAGCCTGCAAGCTCGATTTCGATGAACAAGCGGACGAATGGCTGCGCGAAACTACTCCGAACGTAAGTACTACTTTTTTTGCATGGAAAATTGCATTTTGCATGAAAGAAATACATCCTGCTTTGCATAGAATGCAATATTTGCATCCAATGTGTGTATATATTTGTGCTATTATCTTAAAACATAGAACATTGATTAATTGAATCGATTTTTAAACATTGCTATTGAATTTTAAATTATATCAAATTTCTTTTAAATATTTTTTTGTGAGCTGTAAAGACTACTGACCAAAGTAATAATATTTTTGCATAATTGTTGCATAGAAAATAATATATGTTTTAATGCTCATAGACAAAAACGGGCATCTAAGTTAAATTTCATTTATAACTTATTTTGCATATTGAAAAAGAATTATTCTTTAATAGATATTTAGATGAGAGTTCTCATACAAATCTCGTTGTTTCTATTAAACACGAATTGATATATATATTTATTTAACGACTTATATGAATAAATGAATAATCGCGCGATTGTGTTATTCAGGTGCGAAATAATGTCGCATATGTACACAACTAGCCACTATAACACACATTCTTATTTAAAACGTACACATTTGTCTAGAGATATATAATAAATTATAATAAATTTCATATAATTATATCTACTTAACTTAGGTACACTGTATGTATCGATATGTTAAACCTTATTCTAACTAAAATAGATGCCTTGATATATAACACATATCTTTGTAACAATATTAAATTTACTCGCCGTAATCCTCATTTAGGATAACAATGATGACAGCAACAACAATGATAATAACAATGATTTCAACAATATACATATTTAGATGCTACATGAATTGCGCATTTATATGATTATTTTAAATGATGTAAATGATAAAGCTCGCTCTGTTATTCGCGATTTAATTGCACCATCTCTAACGCGTTCGCGCTTTCATTGAAAAATGTAATATGCATATAACAGACTAACAACACATTATATTATATTATACTTTCCTTCATTTAGGATCTTCAATTAAGATTGTCAATTCAATGTGATTCAGTTACGTTGAATAGTTGTCTAAAATTAGTGAAATTTTAATAAATAGTTCCCCTAAAATTAGTGAAATTTCAAAATAGGACACAAACACATTCTACAGACAGAATAAAAGGATTTGTATCTGAGGATATAAAAATCCAAGAATAAAAATTAAGATTCAGTGATTTAAATTGAAGGAATTTATAGGAATTATATGTATATATAAAAATTTAAAAATTTAACAATCTAAAGCTAAATAAATATAAGGACAAAAAATTTGAAAAGTTATAAATTTAAATATCTACAATATAATTATTTGAAAGGATTTGGCGTGTGTCTAAAGTATAGGAAACATATAATTTCCAACGCGAACTCGAAAAGAAAATTTAAATTTTTAATCAGGAAAGCACCTGCCCTGCCTCACACACAATCCGTCTCACACGTTAACAGAGTAACGCGTGAGAGATCAGTATATTTTAAATTATTTAATTACACTTTTTTTAATAAGAACACAAATCAGCTTATACAAGGTATTTCACAAAAGCCTCGAGAAGAGATCACTTTATCTCTTTCGCAATGGAAATATTTCGATACGATTAATTTAATATATATCCTCAATACGGAGGCAGACGAAACCGTTGCAGTTATTCAACATTAAGTCTATTTTGGAGAGTCTGTTTTCTTTCGAAATAAAAGCTATCAACAGGCACCGATTCATCGTGAGACAAACGAATTTAAGGACTCGATGCAATAGTGATTGAATCTTTTTTAAAAGTTTGAGAAAATAAAATTTAAATCGAAATTTTTATTTTTAACTTTTGTTCTATAAAGTTAGTTTCAACTATATTAATCCTTCAAATAAAATTTCTTGAAATTTACATTAGATGAACAAATGTTAAATTCTAAAGTTGAATTTCTTGAAAAGAGAAACGAAAATTAAACTCAATCTAAATATCAAAATTAGAGATTCAGAAATTAAAATTGGATAAGATTGAGAAATCTCGAAAATACTTTATCTAAAATTAAATTTAGACAAATATTATTATCGAATACTTAAAAAAAAAGAGTCAGATCACATCTTGTACCGAATCCTAAAATTTTCGCCGAGAGGAACCGATATCTGAACACACATATATATATATATATATATATATATATATATATATATGTATATATATATATATATATATATATATATATATATATATATATATATAGATTCATAGGGAACTCTCACTGTCCGTTTTTGGATCGGAATGGTAACACTCGCATTGTTTTACCAGACACAAACAACTACACATTTGCTCTTCTGCAAACGAGGAGGTGTACCGACCATCGAATCCGTGATATCACACTTCAAGTTTTGCTCACATTTTGCCCTGTCGAGAGGGACGAAGTTAAACTATTTGGATCTAGAGATACGTGATGTTGCTTTTTCACGCTTTCCCTGTCCTTCCGCTTCTCTCTTTCTCTCTTTTTCTCTCGTGACTGTCGGCTTTTTTAGCGAACCGACCTCTTGTCATCGGAGCACCTCGAATACGATAGGGTACGCGAGAGTGCGATCCAGCTGCTTGAATTTCAGAAAGAGAGTCCTCGGTACCATCTCAAATATCGGACTGCGTTCTTCGATTTGCCATCAAGCGTTTTTGATTTTCGTCTCATCAAGTTAATTATTTCTTCTCGATATAACGAAGATTAATGTCGCTCTATCGCCAGCTCCATACTCCACATGGTATCAAGAACTCTTTTCCAGAATGCGGACTCGCACTCAACTCGGCGGGCTATTACCCTCGCTTTCGTGCAACACCGCTTCCACCGACTTCCTGTACTTGCCCACCAGCTCGGGTAGATCGTAGGCGATTGCCACGTCGAGTCTATTAATCGGGCAACCGCGGAAATACGTGCAGGTGGAACTCAGCAGCGGGAAGTCATAGAGCGCATTCAGCCGGAAAAAGTCGCGATAGACGTCCGGATCAGGCAGATCGTAGCGCGATATGTTGGTCAGGGTACTGAGGCCCTCGTAGATGTGATAGTCTTGTGGACTCTCGATGATCTTGTCGCTGATCTCCCGCTTGTTGCCGAAGAATGTCTTGTGGTTGTAATACGTTGTCAGGTAACAGTCCACCATCTTTGCGTGGTTGCGCACTCGTACCTAAAATAGATGATGAATCAAGTCGACTTCTACTCTGGTACAGTTTTTTTTTTTATGTAAAACTTAGTGAATAATTTTTATCAGGTATTTGCATGATTTTTTCGCGATAATTCTTCGCTCGAAATTCGTAAAAACAGCTCGATTACTCGTCACTTTGAAAAATTGGAATAAACTTACGGCAAATCTTCTGGCGCTCGCTATCTTGTGCTCGACCCTCTTGTTTATCGCGGAACGTAGATCGCGAAGGAATGCACGTTCTTGAGCATACAACAATCTAGTGGGCGCACCAGCTTCGTAAGGTATGGACCATAACGACGTAGAGTACATTATTGGTGGTTCCGCACTTGACATCAGCGGCGATATATTCCAGATTAGAGCGCCTTGCACCCTCATAAGTTCCTCGGGCTTCACCTGATCAGCTTTATTGAGAATAATGCGCGTCTGTGTTTGAAGAAATTATATGTTTATTAGTTACATGTATTAGATAATGTATCTCGAAACACGTTCTTTTTCTTTTAAAGATGCCGAAGAATATTAACAATTTCTATAAATATTCTCATCACTTTTTACCTGATATTCTCTTCCTTTTAACTGATCAAGGATCGCCTCCGTTTCGGGTCCAACGTCTAATTTTGCGGGATCGTAAACCAAAAATATTATGTCCGCTCGGTCGATGAACCATTGACACGCATCGTTAAAAGGGAATAAGCGTTGGACTTGTTTGCGAATTTCCAAAATACCCGGTATCTCGACGATGTTCACCTGACATAATTGTAGCAAATAGTTAAAGCATTTTAGACGATCTATAATTCGTGGTAAAGTTCGATATAGAATTCTACTTATAACTTTATATCATATAAAACATTTGAAAAAGGAAAATACGCATATGAAATTATTAATTAATAATTAGATTTTTGCCTTGAATTTTATCACGAATTATTAACTATCTAAAATGGACTTTTTATATATGAGACTTTATAATAACTTATATGTTGCATAGATTGTTTTCTTGTTAATGCTTATGTGGTAATTTTTCTTTTTAATTTTTCTATCCTATGCTCGATAGAAAATTTTAAAATATTAATAAAATAAAATGATTATCTTTTTTTAAATTTTATTTTGCAATTAAAATTTAATTTAACGAAGAAATAAATGTTTATAAACTGTAAATATTCAATTTTTATTGAAAAGAAGTTCCGGATTGTCTATCGTAATATATATACTTCCGATATATATATATATATATATATATATATATATATATATGTAATATATATTTGTAGATAGATAATTGTTGATCGTGGTCGCTTACCTTTTCTAACAACTTGTTGTTAAGTCGCAAGCCCCTGAGACGATCCAACATACCCTGGCCGAATTTCTGCAGTCCCGAAAAAGTCCAATCGGCGGCCAGTTGAGTGCCATCGAGAACCTCTTCCTCCTCGCCATGCATTATTATGTTGAAGTACGCCGGTGATGGTTCGGCTCCTATGTCATTTTTTCCATTTTGGCGATTTGTAATGCTCTTCTAAGCACTCTCTCAAACCATCTAAACACTATCTATATATTCATGCTCCTAGCGCGCGCTTTCTACCGTTATGTCCTGACCATTTTGCAAGCACAAAGCCAAAAAATACAATACAAAAGGTATAAAAAGAAAATATATTTTTAAAATCATTATTACGTACCTGTCCTTAGGGACGTCGGTTTGTATTCAATATCGAGCAAATAATTAATAATGGATGATTTTCCGCCGCTCCATGGACCCATAAAGAGTACTAATGGCTTGGAAAATATTTCGGGATCTGAGTACAGAGTAATATAATAAAATAAGTAATAGAATAGAAAGTAAAGTTTGGAATAGAGCAATATAATAAGTAATAATTATATATAGGATAATATTAATTAAAAAGATTATTACTATTTATAGAGAAAATTATACACTATTGTGATTTTATTTTTGTTGATTATATCTTATCACAATGTAATTGACCTGAATTATATATCTTACATTTTACTTTTTTTTAATATCTTTTTTAACATTTTTAATATTTTTATTAAATTTATTAATTTTATTTTAATCTTATTATTTTATGTATTATTTTAATTTAATATATTATTTAATTTAATATATTATTAATTTTATGTTATTTTAGTTTAATTATTAATTTATTTAATTATTAATTAATGTTATTATTTGTTTTATTTATTTTATTTTATAATATTGAAAATAATTGATTAAACAATGAAAATATTATTAAGTTTATATATTATACTATTCATAGATTGCTCACCTCCGAAATGCCTGTTACTCAAGTCTCTGTATTTGTACATGGTTTCTAACGGCTTTATAGCGTTATCATAAAGTCTCTTCAGATCCCTGAGGATAATATCAGCCTCTTTTTGTATAGCTCGCTCTCTTTCTGCATTCTCCTCATCCAATTTTAGCAACTGATTAATATGATCTCTCGGTCGAAGATTTTCAGGGATTTCGATTTCTTGAATTAAATCTTCCTCTGGAGTAGGTTCTTGCTCCTGTTCGCTAACGGCTGTCGTAATAATAAAAAGTTTATTATATAAATAATTATATTAATTATTCTGTGTCACATATAATAAATAAAATCATGTAATTAATATAATTATACATATATGAGATTAAAAGCAAAGGTTTTAAGTTTTGACAATTAGCTTAAGGTTTTTTTTACCTTCTTCCGCAGATTCATCTGTTCCTTCCTCGCCGATTTCTCGTTTGTCACGCAATTTCACATCTTCATGTTCTTCTCCTTCGGATTTTGTATCCTCCTCTGCCGATTTTTCGTCATCTTTTTCTGCGGACGTCGCTTCCTTACATTCTGCATCACCTTCCTCACATTTTGTTTCTATTTCCTCGGATTTCTCTTCTTCTTTTTCTTCCTTAGAAGTCGCCTCTTCTTCCGTAGATTCCGTCTCTTCCGTAGGTTTTGTCTCTTCTTCAGATTTCACTTCTTCTTCTTCTTCTGCAGATTTTTTTTCTTCTTCTTCTTCTTCTGCAGATTTCTTTTCTTCTTCTTCAGCAGATTTCACCTCCGCTTCTTCTTCTTCTGATTTTGTTTCCTCTTCTACATCCTCTTTAGAGCCTGCTGCTTCAGCATCTTCTGCACTATCCTTTTCTTTTTCTTCGTCGTGAGTTTCGGCGCTTTCATCCTGCTCTTCTTCCTCGCCTTTTTCAGTTTCACCGCTCACCGTCTGATCTTCAGTCGAATCGGCGCTTTCTTCTACTTTGCTGTCAGCTTCTTCCTCTTTCTCGTCCTCTTTTTCAGCACTAGTTTCCGCAGATGTTTGCTGAGTTTCCGTCTCTTCTTCTGATTCGATTCCTACTTCTTCAGTGACTTCTTTGGATTCTTCTTGCTCCTCTTCTTCAGTTTTCGTTTCTTCAGCTTCATCCTTTTCTTCCTCGGATTTCGCTTCGTCGTCTACTTTTTCTTCTTCGGATTTCGCTTCGTCGGCTATTTTTTCCTCCTCGGATTTCGCTTCGTCGTCTACTTTATCTTCTTCGGATTTTTCGTCTTCTACTTTTTCTTCTTCGGATTTTTCATCTTCTACTTTTGTTTCTTCATCGGATTTTTCTTCGTCGGGCGTCTCATCTTCTTCTTCGGTTGTCACTTCTTCGCCTTCAGTCACCTTTTCGGAGGAATCGACCTGTTCTTCATCGCCTTCAGTTACCTCGGTGGACGCCGCCTCTGTTTCTTCTGCTTCTCCTGTAAGAATTTTTCCTATATTTAATGCTTTAATATATGTTTTTATATTTCTATGTAATTTGACTAGATTTAAATCAATTATTGCTATTTAAATCGTTAACGGCTGTTAATTTTACCTTCTTGAGCGATGCTAACTTCACCACTTTCAGCTGATGCAGCTTTCTCGCTTTCATCTTTTTCTTCTTCTGATTCTCCTTCTGTCTTTTCTTCGCTTACGTCGGCTTGTTCTTCAGTTGCTTCCTCACTCTTGTCGACAGCCGCTTCAGCATCTTCCTCTACCGATCCTTCCTCGTCCTTGGCCTCACTCTCTTCTTTCGAAACGTCTGCTGCCTCACCAGCCTATAAATATATCTCTGATAAATATATCTATATTCATTTTTAGAATAGATTGTTATTGTACATTATACATTGTAAATAAATGTTTATTGTGTGAAGAATTACATATAATGTGCTCTAAAATATATTAAGAATTATATTTGAAAAATATTTATTAGAAAAATATTTATTTTATATAAAAGAAAATGCTCTCGCATTTTCCTTAAATTTAAAAGATTAACAAATAATTTTTGCGAGATTAGTTAAGTTTTAAATCTCGCTATGAGAAATATTTGGAAGATCTTACTTCCTCGCTCGCAGGTGTAGCTTCCTCATGACTTTCCTGATCAACTTCGGTTTCTTCTGCAGTGGTCTGCTCCAAAGGTCCTTCAAACAAAATATTCTAGAAATCGCTGTGTTCCAGTTGAATATTCATCATCATCTAATATTACCTGTGCCGATGTCTTTGAGCGCCTTCTCGATGTATGGCCGACATAAATCCTCAGATGGTACCTGTTCTAGCTCATCTTCACTTTGCACTCCTGAAACGTTATCCCAACATTTAACATTCTTCTCAAGTTCTTAAAAAATCTACATCTTATATTTTACGTGTTTATCTATTATTAAATTTTTTTTATTATTACTTATCATTAAATTATTTATCATTAAATACGTTTGTTATCAAAGATTTTTCCACGATTTTTCCAATACATAATTTTTTAAATATTTTTATATAAGATTTGATATATTTATAGAACATTTTTCCTCTAAAAAAATTGATACAAATTAGATGAGAAGTAAAAAATAATCTTTATCAATAGACATACACACATAACTACTAATATATCTACTAAAATTAAATAAACATGTTGATTTAATTCGATATAGTTGAGCTTTGAGTCTTCAATTTATCATGTCTGATTAATTGACAATATCAAGTAACAAATCTAGTCATGATACTTCAGAAACTCGCATACATCGAGATATTTACATTGTTTGCGTTTCATCGAGTGTGCCTGGCTGCCAGAAATTTTCGACCCAGAGAAAATTTTCATTGCGTGTGTTAACGCGTGCCAGAAGGAATCGCGCGCGGTATTAGATAACCGATTGCGCGCAGCGATGAAGCTTCGGCGACAGTGAGTTTAACGCCACGCGACCACCAACCCGAAATATCTGACCCATGTGACGCAAGAATCTGTCAAAGTCATTACGCACTCCCGGCGGTGCGGGCCGTGCGCGTGTTCGCATGCTATGACAGGTGTTCAGGAACACCTAACGTGACTTGTCATCCGATGAAAGTTCGTATTAATCCGATATAAGTTCTGCATCGATGCGCTGAAAGTAGATATTATACGATTTTATTATTATTTCAATTCATCTATTCTTCCTTTTTCACTTCTTTTTTCTTTCTCTCTTTCTGTTGAATGATTTGATTAAAATTTTGAATTTGATTGAGAGTTGAACAAAGTGAAAATTGATGTTTCAATAACGAGGAAAACAAGATTTTCTCAGAATTTATATCATTAATACTCAATTATATCATAAATTAATGTTTCCAAAAAGAGATCATGGATTATATCGAATTGAAAAATATATAGAATATTTATATTTAGCAGCAGCATTTTTTTAATTACTTCAATCTTAAAATCTTTTTTTTTTATAATTTTAGAAATTATAGCGATAATTATGTGAGTGATATATGGAAGGGAAATCATTAAAAAATTATTTTTTTTTTATGATTGCCTTCCACATATCACTCACACAATTTTTTGTGCAATTATAAAATTTATATATATTTTATGATATATTTGCAGAACATAGGTATTATATTTTATCCTTTTAACATATAATGCAATATTTTAGTCTTGGCTAATGTTATTCACATGAGTGATTTCACATTCTTACTTGAAACTTGCATCTCAAATTTCAGTAAAATATGTTTACGAGAAAATCTTGACTTAATTTTTTCTTAATTCATATATACGATATCGATAGCAGTTTGCTCATGACGAGACCTAATTTAATAGGCGCATAAATGCAGCTGCGAAACGCGAAGACGGCGGAATTTCCACCGAAGAAAATGTCGATATCATCTTTCTAGGCGGTACCTGGGACGTGGCCGGCTTCTAAGTTTAGCGGCGGGTAGGCGGCTTTGAGTCGAGCAACACTCGGAAATATTTATATATTAGGCGAGCGAATCGTATTTTTATCGTCTCTTCCTACGAGGAAAAACTGTGAATCGAAGCTGTGTCGGTTGATCGAAATTTATTCAATTATCAATAATATATTGTATTATCCTTATGTGGCTATTCATCCCCTCGCAGTAACTTTGTCTTCGTACCTCGAAGAAAAAAAGGAGAAGAAAATTTAAATAAATATTGAAGTTTTCTATTACATGCAGAATTTATCAAGTGTTTAATTAAATACTGTTATAATTTTTTATATGAACAAAATTTTAAAAAGGAATTGAACTTTTCTCTCTCTCTCTCTCTCTCTTTTTCTCTCTCTCTCTCTCTTTCTCTCTCTCTCTCTCTCTCTCTCTCTCTCTCGACATATGACATAATTCGACAAGATACTGTGAAAATGATAATTGAATTAGTATCGGTGAAATCGAAGAAGATCCAACAGTGCTTGCTAGTTTGATGGTTGCTCAAGCTTGAATGTCACCGGCGGTTACCTAAACGTCAGATAGCGAAAATCATTGTAGTTTACGAGCTCACGTGATCATCGTAAACACGAAAAGTTCCATTTCGTGCGGCATTTCTTGTTATATCACGTACAATAATTTCTGGCATAAAGCTTCATTTCTGTCATTCTTTTAACTTCCCTGAGAAAAGAAATAGCTTCCTACTTTTAAACGATCCATTTTATTAACTCTCTCTATTGTTACATCGTTAAACTGTTCGGGGTTTCTCTATTTATTATTATTTATAAAAAGAAATGAAACTTTTTTTCTTCCTGACATATGCAATATTGAAATCGAATAATATCGATTTATTTAATACTTGATTGATTCAAATGTTATTGTGTGATTTGAAAACACAAAGCGACAAATATGAATGATCTTATATTGTGTTTAGATAAAGATTTAAATTAGATTCTTACAGAGTTAATATCGAGCATACGTGAATTACATTTCTTCGTCTGCTCTCAGTCACAGGACTTATATTTCTTGTCGGTTTACGAGGTAATGCGATTATACGAGCAAATTTTGAGTTACGAGTGATAGGAGGAGACGCACACAGGCAGCTGTCGTTTGGCAAGCACAGCTGCGCCGGATAAAGATAGAACCTCCGCGAGTCTTGTTCCATAGTCTATGATATGTATAGCTTTTTGCATTTGCAAAGAATTTTTGCGATTATCATCCCGAAACTGAATTTAAAATTTCACGTGGATAATTCGTTTCTTCAAGCGGTTTGTCGATTTTTTACATCTTTACGTCTTTTATAAAAATTAATAACTGTGTTATATAATAAATTTATAACTTATTTTTTTTATCGACGCGATGTGACGCTACTCGGAAAATGAGCATTTAATTTGTTTCCGAAAGAAATCGCAATATTGAGTTAAATTTAAATGCACATTTCGGTTAAAAAGGAAATCAAGATATGGAATTTTCATAATAGTTTGGATCATAATTAGAACAATTCGCATATCTCGAGAGTTAGAACGAGGCTGGCACGGATTTTATGCGGTTTCTTATGTAATTATCGCGCAGGTTGATGACAGCCAACTCCCATCGATTCCCAAAATAACAAATCCTTGAATCAACATTCGAGACTTTTATCTAAGCTACGAAACGACATGTCGGGATGCTTCTTCAGTCATCAGCTAAGCTCAGCATTTAAATCTCATTCGGAAAGAAAAATATTTTTATTATAAAGTAGAAAATATATATATATTCGAAATTTATTATGTAATAATTGTCAATTATTTTATTAATTGGAAATAATTTTATATCATAAGAAACACATTATAAGATTTATTTCATCAAAGTTTATTGTATTTATAATGAATTTTATTTCTTTAAATTATCGATCAAATATAAAAAATTACTAAAATTAGTGACTCGAAGAAGTTATAAAAGTAAGTTATAAAAAATACACGTGAATATAATTTTGTCTCTTAGATAAAATAAAAAAAAATGAATTAATTAGGATCGTTAGTGATATTCTTGGTAGATTCCTAGAATGTATGATAGTTGAAGCATCAGCGCATTTATAGGGATGAGAAGATCATAGACTATAGGAATCTATGACGTATACCGGCGATTTTACGTAACATTGACCTTCGTCAGTCAATCGTCATAGCTTCGTCAATGTTTCAATTTCATTGTCGTCAGCGATTGATGTTAATTGCACATCTCGAAATAATCACTTTTACTACATTTTTTCTTGATACACTATTTCGTTTAGCTTTGACTAAATCTTGATTTTATACCTAATTAATTCAAAATCTAATTTTCGCGTTCAAATTACAGAAATCTAGCTACGGCAATAAAGGTAATTTCTAGGTGGTGAATATTGATGAAGAAATTCATTCGTGCCGATAAAGCAAGCTCCAAAGTATAGTGCGGATCTAACGAGAAACGAACCGAGGGCCTCGAGTTTATCACTTATTATGAAACCAACCGATGAATTCGATCGACGTCACTAATCTCGCGCGAAACCCGATTCGACGTACGTCCAGTCTGCGAAGGGATGCTAAGTCTCATTCGCGCGGGCCGATCACCATTCGAGGATTTTACTGACCTTGTAAGGCGACAGCTAGGATGCCCACGAGGAGGCCCACGACGAGCGCGGGTCTCATCCGCGCGCCCGTCATCTCGTCACACTAGACACTACGCGATCGGCCGGGCCAGGGCTGGCACACAGCTTGTCCTCTCTCACTTCTCGATCCAGTCGTCGCCCTCGACTCCAACTAGCCCGCGAGATACTGGCATTGTCACTACCGCCAAACCCCGAAGACGCCCCTCTCTTTTTCTTCCTCTTCTTCTGCTTCCTACCCCACGAACAGCGACAGGGATAGCGCGCGATGACGACGACGATCGTTGTTTTTTTCCACCGTCTCGTCTCCGGATCACCTCGCGGTCATCGGCCACGGGACGATGTGAAAAACTTGCGACTCGATGCGGAAGTGCTCACCTTAGTGTAGCACGCGCAACGCTATAGAGCAGGACCGAATGCGTCATTATAGCGCCACGATCAGAGCCAGGCTCAATCGACAGTTGAGGACTGTCCATCTATTCTACGAGTCTGTATTCGCATTGACGTTTATTCGACATTTGGCTCCGAGCATCGGAGACGCATCAGCAACGGTGTATCAATTCGATGACCCAGAACCCCGATGACGAATCTCGCGCCTCGATATCGCCTATCTTCTCTACTTAGTTATGACGTATAGGAAAGTGCGTAATGTTAAGGGAACGGGAAGTGGAGGAGGGTTATAGAACGCAGCTTTTATTTTTACGATGATTACGGAGGCACGACGTAGATCAAGGTCGGCCATTCGACGCAGGTACACGAGATTCGCGATCGAAATAGTTTCGTATGTAACATTTATAATGCGAGCCTGTGATTTCTACTCAAATCGGGCGTCATTGGGCAAGCCTTGTCGCTTATTAATTACACGGTCATTTCAAGAAGAAGGAATGTATTTTCCGCCAATTTTGTCTTAATATATATTTAAAAGTTTAGATTTATTTGTTGTTTTCAGATTACTATAATACTTGTCTCTTCAATTGATTTCTGAACATTCAACATTATGTTGAAATTTTTTTATAATAATAATATTAATTAAAATAGTAACTTAATAATATTTTAAATTATCCAATATTTCTTTTTAAAGGCTTATATTTTTGTTATCAATTAACTGACATTTAATATATTTTATTTATTAACTGTTCTAATTATAATTAGTATAATTATAATTATTATTAATATAATTATAATTATCTGAATTTTTATCTAAATTTCTTTTTAATATTTGTGGGAATAATGCTAAACTTTTTTTCTATAATTTCATATTTTGCAATTCTAACGATGACTCCTCTCGAATACTAACACGAATGTGAATATTACAGCATCTATCCTTTACAGCTGATGTCGTATGGCTAGAAATTTTGGGCTATATCATCCCGCATTTAAAAATATCCCTCGGTAGTCCCGGCGCTTGTCGAGGGTTTTATCTGAACCGAAAACCAGGTAGGCAAGATAGCCGATGTAAACCTTGATCCTGCGTGTCGCGAGTATCCCGCAAGTTGAACATCACCTCGCGAATCTCATCCGTGCCGCGTATTTTCTGCCATCACCTACTTATTTATCTACTTTTTTTATTTATAATGAAAGCATGTCATCGTTTATTTTCTCCTGTCGCGCTTTCAATAGCCTGCTAAACAATGTCGTTCGCAAGAAAGCGCGCATTGAAACGTTAAAGCTGCTGTTCACATCTAGCGCCGATTGCGATATTCGCGATGAAAAAATAAAATGCAAAATGGGATGGTAACATTTTTAGATATTTTCATGTTCTGAAATTCTTTCGAATTTTTCGAACTTTTATCGGTGCCGAGGTTACGATGATGAGAATTTTGATTCTCATCGTGTCTTCGTTTCGAGGATATATAATCACGATTTGCATTAAGAAGTATGATCTCTTCTGAGAACTAAGTTACTTAATAATCTAATAATCCCTTCACGGGGTAGAAATATTCCTAAAATTTTATTTATTACAAGTAGGAAGAAAATTTCGCCGCTTCATCGGTGAATCCGACTAACTGAAGCGTAGCACAACGGGACGAGATTTGCCGCAAAATACACACGTACAGACGCGGAGGAGCGTCAGAACCGCGGGCGCCTTTATATTTAGAAGCCCGGGTCGCACCCGTATAAGGTGGGCTGCCGTGCAAAAGTCCTCTCTTTCTCCTCTTCTTCTTCTCTTTCTCTCTCTATCTTTTCGTCTTTCTCTCTTTTTTTTATTCAAATTTGAAGAGGCATATATATATATATATATATATATATATATATATATATATATACAGAATATTTAATTGATAGATTTGTACTTGAAAGGAATGATCACACAATTATCTTTATCGATATTTACTCTGATAAAGAGGAACTTTTATAAAGCAATATTTTGCGCATTCACACAATGTTAATTATATCTTTTTATTTTATTTTATATATTCAATGACATGAATTGTATAATTTAATCTTTCAACATGTGAGATATTTTTTTCGATATATAATTTTAATATTTTCGTGCATTTCGCATGCGTTTTCCTATTTAAAAAACGTTTTGCAGACTAATAAACTAATTATTTGAAAAGGCTTTTTTATTATGTGTTTACAAAATTAATTCATTATTCTGTGCTATCTCTGGCTCTGTCGGGCTTTTAGAATTATTCATAATTCGATATCCTTGATATTTGCGCTATTCTGATTTAAATAGTTCACAGATTGAATTTACATTTGTACAAGCTTGATGCACAGCTCACGAAATAGCTCGAAGTATCCTTTTAATTAGAACAAAATTATCAGAAATTCATTAGCGGTTAGATGAACCGTAATCTATTATAAGCTTCGTCATTATATATGTAAATTTAATTACATACCGTCACAGTATGCATATGTATACTTCGACTAGAGGTATGTTGCATGTCATTATAATTTAAGATTTGGACATGTTCCTAAAGATCCACGATGGGTCATCTCTTTTCCGTAAAAGATCGCGAGGATGCCCCATTTACTTATACCTATGTTTAGATCGAACCTTGCGCACTCACCATCAAGTTCACAGTTTCATTTTGCAGTGTACCATTGCACCTCACGCTTAATTCAGGCGATCATTTCTAATTGCTATTTTTAAATCACGTATCTAATATTTTTATATTTATTTTGTCATTTGTCACATGCATGCGTGTGTATTTTGCGAGACTTTTGTAAACAAAATATGAGTTCTAAATCCCTTAGTTTCGCATACCTAACTATTTTAGTTTTGTAAAAAAAGAACTTTTCTCCTGAGTAATTTTAAATAATTCTAATTTTGGGACAATGATGAAATATATTGGACAATATAATTAATGGTACACTAGGCACGAAAGATAGAAGAGCACAAGAGAAAGAAGGAACGAAAGGCTCAGGAAAAATTGGAGCACGAGAAGCAGGAAAGATTACGAAAAGCACGAGAGGCCGCCAAAGCTCGCGAGGAAAATACGCGAACCTCTCAGACGGATGCTGGCAATTCGGGTATTCCCGGGGATTTCTATCAATTCCTTAAAGATCCTGAAGTACTTCAAGCTTTTCAGGTAAGTGACGGGAGAAAGTTATAGTCTTTAATAAGTCTTTAGTAAGTCAAAAAGACTTAATCATGTTCGTGTACTCTCTATTAGAAAGTATCTGACGCATTATCGGATAAAAAATACAAAGATACATCACACGAAAGTGTCAAATTTGAGAATTTGAGAATTCAACATCATTATCAATAATTGTAATTTTTATATTTTTTTGCGATGAGAGACTCAAAAGTTTGACGAATGTATCTACAGGATCCGGAAGTGGCCGAGGCCTTCATGGATATCTCCAAAAATCCGGCAAATATTTTGAAATATCAAAACAATCCAAAGATAATGGCTCTTATCAATACGATGGCCTCGAAATTTGGCGGTATGCCCGGTGGTATGCCCGGTGGTATGCCCACGGGAGCAGGAGGATGTCGCCCGAAACCGACCCCTGAAGATGACGTTGGCCTTGATTAATCGCGATCCTTTCAATCGCTTTTATTCTTACGAATGCATCTTGGTCAATTGACTCATTAAAGGCTGATTTGCGTTTAGCTATTCTTTTTTTAAGTTGCCATGAATTGCGCTAAAAAAGATTTATCTTGAGAAAATTGATAATTTAAGAGATCAATTATATAAATACAGGATTAATTCTAGCATCAACGTATTGAAAACTTTTACATTTTATTCTTGTTAGTGTTCGTTTCGTATCGTAGATGAAATCTTGGATTATTCGCAATTTGATTTATATATCTTTTATTTAAATTTATTATTTTGATCTTACATTTCCTTTACATTTTTTGCATTTTTTATTAATTAACTGGAAAATCTATTACGGTTAACGTAAGAATTTATGTTAAAAAATTGCGAGGGTGAAATATGAAACGAATGCTTTTAATGGGTTAAGCGCTATTGTTCGTTTATATCTCTCGCTCTGTATACAGAAAAGTATATATATTATATGTATATGTAAAATCAGATATACAAACAATAAGTACATCAGTGATATATCTTCGAAAGAGCTTTTATTATGGATCAATATAGTTTGTTATACATTATAAAGCGCCTTTCGCGCATTTTTTAAGAAGACAAATTTCTTTGTGTGTGTGCGTTGTATTTCATTACCTAATGTCCCCATTGATCTTATTCTGTTACATCGTTATTAAAAGCTTCTCAGGTATGCTCTCGAAATAGCGTCAAGTATTTGTCTAATTCACTAGATTGATGTAAAAAATTTAATTAAATAATTATTTAATAATTTAATTTAATAATTATTTAAAATTGATTACATATATAATCGTTGACATTTTATTCTCAACGTTTATCTTGTTTATATGTCTCAGTGCCATATACTAAGATTTGTAATTAATTACAAATGATATCGAGTTTTGATATCGAGTTTGATATCGAGTTCGATAATTCAAAATAATCTCGCAATAATGGTTTACAAAATGAAAAATAACGAAATATTAGATATTAAATTTATTGCTATTATATCATCAATATCCTTATATTGCTTGCAATTTAATAAGGGGACTAAATCGGCACTGCCCTATTATTTTTTCGTCCAAGAGATATGATTATATATTGATAAGATAAAGCATTGCGTACGAAAATAAAATACAACTTCATATGCGAGATAGATATAAACCGTCACGATGAGTACTTATAAAATATTCAAATAATATGACCTAATATTCTACAAGAAAGCTCAGCAGCAGAACTCCATTCACCAATATCGTATTTTAAAAAGAGATTCCACAGATCGAGCTTTCACCGAAAGTCTTGTATAAAATACAGATTGGCAGCTTTTTTTTTCATTTACACTATCATAATTGATAAACAGTATAAGAAAACATAGTCATTGTTTTGCGAATAATTCCTTAGAATTAATCCTTAGAATTAATCTGTAGGATCGTGAAAATGATAATGATGATGATGAATTAATAGAATATTATTCGATTAATAAATATTGATGGCGTATTTACTAAACACAATTATTTTTGCAAACTATTAACAGTTCGAATAGATATTAATCTTCTCTCCACGAAATTAGTTAGATATATCTAAGATGTTGATTGGTTGAAATAAAATTATTTTGCACAATATTTAACTCTGATTATGTATTAATACGATATATTATTTGAAATAATGTGTAATGAAAAAAATGGGAAAAAGGGGAATATTTTTAACAAAAGATTTTGTTTTTTAGATTATTAAAAGTTATATCTTCAGATTATTCCAATAAACAGAGTTCTACCGAGGATTCTATTGCATGTATTATCCTCTGTCAGATTTATATATATATATATATATAAATGTTTGCAATAAATATATACAAAAATATAGTTCGCGAGTAATAATTACAACTCTTTCTTTTTGCATTAATTATGAAGGGTTGCATTGCATCGCTTATCGTTCTCACGAATGTGATGCAAACCCGATGGCTCTCGCGACAAAGACGATCGTTGTCGTCTATGGCGCTCGTTTACAGCGATTATTTGTACACTATAGCGTGAACTTAGAAACTAGAAATATTGCACGTGAAAAATCGAATGGTATATCGCGCTTGTCGGAGACAGGGAACGAGCGTTTTGCTTCAGATACGGAAAAATCGGGTGGAATCGTCTCGATCGTTGAAGCGACGTGATCTACAGCATAAATCCAGACTTTATGTGAAATCTTTTTTTCATCACAACAATCTTTCATTATTACAGAAGTAACTAAATAACGCAGCCGCGTCAAACAAATGGAATTTGTATAACAAATAATTGCATTATCTTAGAAATTTAAAATCAGTTTACTTGGAGTTTAATTAAAAAAAGAGAAAAGAAAAGCTTTGCGGTATATCATCAACGTGCATGGTTCACCTTATTCTTTATAACAATTCAGTCCCAAGTGACATAAAACTCCAAAGAAGATCAGAACTTTAAAAATCTCTTTACAATCTTTCATTCTTATTCATTTCCATCGTATAAATAACGCTATGTTCTCCTAATCTTGAGCATATGCAAATTGGGGTGCCATGGCACTTTCCTGAAGGTCGACGCTCTTGCCTCCTCCTCGGGCGACAGATTATCTTCATTGGCCTCGTCTATCGACGCTCGTATAAGATCGGCGCCGGCGCTGCTAAGTACTCGCCGATGTCGCGTCGTATCCAACCGAGTACCGGCGTTCCATCCTCCGGGATCGCTCAGTACTCGACGGTGTTTTCTTTGCCGGTGACGGTGATGATGATGATGACGATGAGGGTGATAATGATGATGGTGGTGATGATGCTGTTCGCACTCCAGACTCGATAGGCGATAGGGAAAAACAGGATTTGGGTCCAAGTACAGCCAGCTCGCGCTATCCACGTAAGGTAGAAGGTGTATCGCGTCCAATGACAGCGAATTCGGATACAGCGGCCGCTTGTAAACGTATCCGCTGTCCATCGACGGTTTCAGTAATCTTTCGGGATAATGAGAACCCTTCAAGCCAGGATGATGCAGCCTGTCAACAAGACGTGTTTCATACATAAATCAATATGTAAATTACTATTATTTTATTAACGATATCATTATTATTATATTATTATTGATAGCGAAATAATTAAGAGGCATAAAAAATTTCCAAAGAATATTAAACGTTCATCGAGACATATAACAATATTTTTAGAAAGAATTGTAATATAGTATAATGATAAGAAAATTAAAGGAACATTAAAATTGTCCGGATATTGTAAGGTATAATTTGTGCTGCTGACGAACCTGCACGAAAGTCGACGTGAGATTCCGCGTTGTCAGTTGAGAGGATGTTCTCCTCGCGGCGTTCTGTAGCACTTGTTCCACGCCTCGAGCAACAACACGCAACTGTGAAATCTATAGAAGATCAGGAGAGGCAGACCGATTCTTGACAACACGCCCCAGGCGAGCACGCCGAAGAATCGAAGCTGCAGCTCCTGCGAGAGCCAGTTCTGCGTGATGACGGTATCAAAGGCCCACAGAACGGCATTGCTGAAGAGCAGGAAGGTGATCACCTGGCGGCCGGGTTTAGCTAACATCTGGAAACGCGTGATGCACGAACGTCGTGACGTCTCGGCGATCAACGTGCTCTGCGCAAAGCACTGCACCAACTGTAAAATCGACGTTGACAGCAGCATAATGTGTCTGGCCCGCGTGTCTTCGGTTTCGTGATCCAACATAGCCAGCGAACAGGCGCATACGACGATGGTGAAGACAGAATAGAGCTGCACCCCGAAGAGCGATACATTCGACAGAAGACTATCCAGGGCAGCTGGTGCACGCGACACTACCGAAATCTGTCGCACCTGAACGAGACCGCTGGCTGTCATCAAGCTGCTCAGCGCCAATATACCGATCAGAGTGCCACAAGTGAGCCAGGATAACGTGGCGGACGGGAAGTTTTCGTCCTCTCGCACAACGAGGAAGATGAGTATCACCACGATGCCGGCAACCATACAAAGGATGCCCAGAAAAAGACCTTTGCTGGAACCGTCGCAACCTACCCTAGTGTGGCCGCTTAAATCTTTACTGCCGTGGAACTTTTGTTTAGTCAATCGACTTCGGCCGACGTTCTGACCCATCACGAAGGTCACTGCGGCGGCGATCAGGCTAAAAGATAATTAAATAAATTATAAGAGTTATCAGTAATGAAAAAATAATATTTTTACAAATTAAAAACGTAATAAGAAATATTTCTCTCTGATATGATATTATTTGTGTCAGCTTGATTTAATAAATTAAAATTTTAAAAATTTAACCGAGAGCTCATAAAGAGCTGAAAATACAATATGTACCTAAATTGTACGATAAAGGGATACAGGAAGGGCATGCTTGACGTCCACAATTGTCCTAGAGTATTAGTATTCAGGCATTCTTGCAGCGCGATTACTTGTGAGATTTGCTCGTTCGAGACAGGCTGATAGGGCTTGAAGGTGCTTTCTCTCGTCGATAAATCGTCTAAAATAAACAGTTTGAAATATTTACTCTCGAGAAACTTATTCGTCCAGTGAAAATATTGAATATATACCTATGAGATCCCGCGATTGTCTGGTCAAGGATCCGGGAAATCCTCGAAGACTCAAAGGAGATACGGACGTTTCCTGTTCGTGTTGCGCCAGGTGCACAAAATAAGTCCATTCTTGCGCGGAATCCCAAATCACCAGACGTGCCCAGACTGCGACATTCGTGGCTGCGAGATGAGTAAAGCCGAATCGAGCTGCCAGACCGAAACGTTCTACGAGGACCTACACGGATGTAGACAGAAATAGAAATTGGGGGATTTATTCTCTTTCAAATATAAATAAAATTGTGAGCTCTTGGAGGATATAGAATCTCTGAAAGGAAATATATATTTCGGTGAGAAAATTAGTTTGAAATTTTCATAAAAAGTTCGAAGAAGCCTTTGTTTCACACATCTAACATACACAATAATACACAGTCGTCAATGCATCGAAGCGTAACAAAGAAACGCGTTTACGCATTGTCCGACTGTGCACGTTCAGCATCCTGTTTAATGCAATTAACGTAAGACCGACGCTTGCCTGCGAATTTACGAAGAGAAAGTGCATCTGCAAGAAGGTGAACAGGCCGTGCATCACCGGATGCACAAAGACAACATCGGTCAAGCACTCGGCGCCCTGCATCATCGTGTGCATCGCCATCTCCAGACCGTTGAACACCAACGTCGCCAGACCGAACACTGAAAAAACCACGTAAATTTAATAATGAAAATTACATTTAAATTACCTTACATTTAAATTAATGAAATTTACGAGTAAACTAATTAAATGAAATTTAGCCACATTATTAGAATTTCAATAAAATATTAAATTTTACGTGCACGGATATTTCAAGCAAAACATGAAATAAAAAAATGAATAAAAAAATGAATAAAAAAATTCATATTGAATTTTAATTAAATATCTAATATCTAATATAATATATTAATAATATTAAATATCTAATCTTTTTATTATATATTTTATTATATTTATATATTATATATTTATTATATTTTATATATTTTATTATATTTTAATTGTAATGTAAAAGTGTAATTTTTAAATTTTATTATTTTAATATCAGTATTTAAATGAAAT